TTGTTTCCTCATAACGGAAATCTTAGCAGCCTCTTGGCATCTCCTCTGTATGTTAACCTCACCTGTCACCATGAGCCATATGATCATGAGTTGGCAGATTACAGCCATCCATGGTGAGTCAGACTCCTGAAAAGTTCCCCTCAGTTTCCCTGCTATTGAGGCACAACTGCATGTGTCTTATTAGAAAGGAATCCTTGATGGATTAAAATATACCAGCACAGTTGCTATTATTAGTAAGTCGGTTTGAACCGTAGCACCACAACACTGTTGAACCTGCCTTTAATTTTCTATAACATTTAATATTATACATTTTAAACTTCTAAAACTAAACAATTTTAAGCTACTTGTACTTTACTTGAGTATTTCCATTTTATCTTACTTCAGACTCCACAACAATGCAGATTATACAATACAGAATGTTGAACTTTCTACATTTATTTAGAAGCTAGACTTACAAGATTTTACATACTATGATCAGGATCAGTTATGATCAGGTCATAAATTATTAAAACTACCCAACAGTATATAATGTAGTTCAAATTAGCTTAATTAATCTACAGCAGTAAATACTGTTAATACATTAATAAATGGATGTTTGAATGCATAACAAATTATTTTACTTGTGTTACTTCAAGTACATCTCGCTGTTTATATTTCTGTACTTTTAAGTGATTAAGATTTGGACTGCACTATTTATTTACACTTTATAAGTAAACGATTTTCTTTCACCACTGATCAGAATTTGCAATAAAATTAGAGTTTAGTTCTTGTAAAAAAAAAATTACTTTATACATATATGCAACCACTGATCTGGTCTCCTGATTAAGTTACATGTAAACGCGGATGCAAAATGGTTGATAAGGGTAAACCCGGGCCTGTTTTAGTTAATGATCCATCCATACAGCTTAGTGACGTTACACAGTCACAGAACACATGCCATGCAAGCATACTATAGAGATGTAGGGTATATTCTATATGACCCGTGGCTTCTTCTGCTCTTTATGTTTTACAGTTACAGTAAAGAAAGAATGTCAATTTCATTTATGTACATGCTAATTTATAGTAAAACACGTCATTTAGCTTTGACAATGTAAAGGTTTTTCTTAAGGTCACAAAAGGAAAACCCCTATTCTACTGGAAGACATCACAGCAAACCAAATGAGTCAATTTGGTTTTATGCTATAGAATAACACATTTTTCATGTTATGATTCATGTGATGAGAGGGAACTTACTGGAGTTAGAAAATGAAATTGAGCATAGGGAATGGTTCAGGGGCTTTGAAGACAGGGCTTTCCAGGTGAGGAATGGTCTCCCTGTAATATGTGGTCCCTAAACATGTACATGACAAAAAGCTCTAAATTCAGGTATTACAGGTTTTCATTAGAAACACATGTTTAAGATTTTAACACCCGAGCTTACCAGCCATTGTGATGCACAGGGGAAAAAAAATCAATTTTTTGTTTTTGTACTTTTGTTTTTTCTTTATTTATGTTGTGTTGTGTTGTGTTGTGTTGTGTTGTGTTGTGTTGTGTTTGCGTGTATCTTGTGCCTCTGACTTCAAGTCAAGTTTCCCATCTGGAAAATGACTGACTTATTTTAAATCTGGAAAAAAGAAAGAAAGAAAGAAAACTAAATCTGGCCTCAGCTTTGCAACCTATTGCCTCCATTTCTCAAATTACAGATTTTAAAACATTACTGATGCAGCATTGTGAAACCATGCCCTAACATGTTAGAAAACTACATGAATGCTGGTATGTCACTTAAGGAAAACCCCAGCACTAACTCACTTAGTCACCAAGGCAAAAAAACAAAAAAAACAACACAACAACCTGCAGGCCGCCGTCAGCAGGAATGCTCCAATAAGCTTGTGTTTGTGTAAGCATGTACAGTATGTGTGTGAGAGCCCCTCCCTGTTTGAGTGACTTTGCATACAGCTGAGGCTGAAAAAGAACAGAAACAAGTAGAGTGAGTAACCACGACACACACACATACACACAGTAAAAAACATACTACCAACACACAAGTCGCTGCAGCAAGTTGTTGCCCTTACCGCCGTGCCAATTTACTGGCAGGCCGGTAAGATAAAGTCTGATCAAAGCAGAGAAAATTAGATTTTTCCGCACCCTGTAGACAGCGTCTTAATTATCTTAAGTATCTAATGCTGTCAGGTTCATAGTTAGGCAAGTTATTAATATCTAGCTGCAGTTATTAATAGCTGAACATGAGAGGCCTGGTCGGCTTCGGTCAGCCTGTCAGTCTGTCCATCTGTCTGCATAACAGGCCTGTGAGTTGTGATGTCGACACATGGCGTGGGTTAACCTCTCACTGGAAGCTGCTTACATTCACATTCAAGTATCACTATGGCACAATTTAAAGAATGAATGCCACGTGATATCATGTACAGGATAGTTCTTCAGTTCATTCATTGAGAAAACAAATGGCTATTTAAACGTCTTAAAACTCAAGGTTCTGATGTAACTAGTGACATGAAGACACATGGAGAGCCATTATGTGGGGATACACTAAGAAAGTACAGTGAGGACATGCACGTGTTCTGCCGGTAAAGTTGTAGTGAAACTATGGTTTAGTGTTTCCTGAAGCAGAAGTGATAAGTGACTTACTTACTTACAGTACGTTTGCAATATTAAATATATGTTCAAAACAGAAGTTGACCTTAAAGATTTACAGTGAGGAATGTAATTCAAACAGCCTGAGCATAACTTGCTTAGGACATTAAAAACATTTTATGTCTAGTATTTACTTTTACTAAGGGAAAGATTTGCCCATTGTGGTATTGTTACTTTATTGTTTAAATACTTTCTAAACTACTGCCAAGTAAAGACTGGCAGCCAAATCCTTTGCCAAATCATTCATTCCTTAGAAAAGGCTTATATCATTGGCTCTACGGTGATAATCACATTTACCAGACCTAAGGCCAAAGTAAATTTTGATAAGACAAATAAAATTGTGTTTAACTTGAAATTATCAAGGAATACTATTTGTGAACCCGCTCCCCTGCGTGCCTTCCTGCACAGTTTGAGAATACCTGTGTGTTTTGTGAATTGGCCTCAGATTTGGTCTGGCAGTTATTCTAATGTTTACAATAGTCATGCTTTACCACTTAATCAAAAAAGTTTTTCTTTCCTCTCTCTTTTTTATATTTGCATATATATATATCTATTTTGTATATACAGCTTCACCCTTAATTCCTGCTGTGCTATGTGCCATTGCAATGAAATTTCATTTTGATGCAAATCCAAATGACAAATAAAGTCTGTCTAAGTCTAAGTATAAGTCTTAGTAATCAATATTGCAGTGACTTTTCTACACTTGCACAACATGTAGTAGAACGTATGCACCGTCATTGCCAGGACTGACTATGACTCATGTGAGTGGGTGACACATGTAGTAGCATTGCTGAAAATGATCCTGATAAGTTGATATCGGCATAGCAGTTGTAACCAAACGGATACTTTGTAGATTCAAACGAATGTATTCGTCTGTCATTTATAGGAGCTTCACTGGGTCAGGTGACTCTTAGTCTATCAGCTTCAAATCTCACTGCTAAATTACACTAACCTTTTATCTCTCTTTGTTTGTCACACTGCTGATGTAATTAATTAACCATCAATACACGCAGCAATGCAGGTCTATGAGCTGTATAACTAAATTAATGTGCTACAAGTGTATTTATAGGCTACAAGAAAAGAGTGTCTGAAATTTTTATAGAGTAGAAAGTCAGATGACATTGTGTGAAAACAGCCCTTGTAATGTGTGAGTCTAGGAAATAATAATAAATATACCTTACAAAGCACCACAGGTTCACATAACACACACACACAAACACACACATACTTTGTTACTGTACTAAATTCTTGTGGGGGTAACAGCTGCCACGCTCCTCTGAATTCCTATGAGAAGGAAAACAAAAAACATAACCGCTGCAAAGCTCACCATAGAAACGAGCCACCAACAATAATCTGCTGCTAATAACATCAGATTGTTGGAGATGAAGAGTTCCGTTGTGGGCCATACAGTTACAGCATGAAAACATCTTTAAAAAATGTGCTTTGTATAGTTAATGTAGAATTTTGTGTTGGTAAAATAATACAGTGTGGAGCTTTAGGAGTTAAACACAAATCACTGAATACAAAATAAAGTATGTAACTTCTAATATAGTAGATGACACTCTGTTTAGATTATTTTTACTTACTTCTATCTTGCTTTCAGCCCCAAAGTTCATGCCTTTTAATAATCAATGCTTTTATTGGTTGTGTCAGTGCTTTTGTGAAATTCTGAAGCTATAATTATAACAGAAACTGATAAAATAGGGGAAATATAGATGTATGTGTTCTGGTAAATACATACAGTAAGCCTACATCTCCTCTCTGTAGGTGAAAACACTCAGAAAGTTTCTGAGTGTGTGATCAGAGACAAGATGATTTAACACTTCCTGAAAACCTACCATTACTCATAGGAATGTATATGCTGTAAATGTATGATTCGGTGCCTGTTTACGTGTTTACATGTTAGCTCTGCTTTACTTGTTCATGTGGGATGAACACACAGCCTCCTTTACCATTTCACATCAGGGTGCTTCAGATCCTGAAAGATTTCACAAAACTGGAATGATTTATCAGTCCCTACAGAAAACCTCTCATTGTTCATAGGGATGAACATATACAGAATAAGAATAAACACAGTAAAAACTAGTGTAGAGTACTATATGCGTAGATGGACAGCATGCATGAGAAGTGAATAAATAAGCCACTTTGCTTTCTCATGCCTACGAAACTGAAACATTTCACACAACTAGCTAAAAATACACAGTTTTCTTTCTTTCTTTTTTTTTTGTTGTTGTTGTTTTATTACCCGCCCTCCTCTGAGGTCACTATGAAACCTGAGGCTGAGGGAGGGTCATCCGGGAACAGTGGAAACTCCTCCCAACCCCTGGGAGGAGTTTGGATTTCTCCTGCTATAAAAGAGCTCGAGAGAGACAGTCACAGTGCAACAGTGCTAACTTGGCTTTAGTCTGAACACAGGTATCAAACCGTGGATCAAAACTGAATCTTCTTTTGGCCTAAGGGGTACAGCATGTGTGAAATGCTTGACGATATCTTCACGAAGGTGAGTCAAAGTTTATGCAAAGTTTTTTTAATTTTGTTTTGGAAAAACAGGCTTTGTAAAGTTGAAGTGGGTCAACTCTGTAATCCCTTTCCCAAAGTGTTCGTTTACTTTTCATTTTACGACTCTGTGAATCATTTATTTGACAGTGAATTCCTTTTTGTACTGAGTTTAGTCACAGAGGATTTCTTCACTTTAAAGAGATAATGAGATAAGGAAGACAGCCAGAGCTTGGTTGTTTGTTTGTTGAATTGTAATCTTCCGCTATCAGAATATTAATGAGTAATAGAGAACAGTCAAAACTGCGGTTATCTACATTTCATTTGTATTTTGTGATTGCATGTAAATTGCAGATAAAGGCTATGTAACTTCTAGTAGTGTACAGGTTTTAGTTTTTTATGACTGCCGTCTGTTTTTTTAACATGACCAGACAAGAAATAAAAGCTCGTAAACTTGAATCTTCTCTAGAATAATTTATCTTTTGCTGAACAAAACAATAATTTCAAATAGATTTGTTGTGGAAAGTAGGATTAAAAAGGAAAATTATGCTAAATATTCAATATACAGTGTATTGCTTTGAAATGAGTAGTGTTTGTATGTTAACTATGTCAACCATTTATAACAGAACTTTATCAAACTGGCCATGGATGATGCCTTGGTCCCACCACAGTCTCAACTCAAAGTCCAAGGGCAGAGTCGGCTGAACCGGTCAGCCTCCTTCTTCTCTCCCCCCTCCCCTCCTGCCTCCTCGAGCCACAGCACGAGCACTGAGCATGTCAACAGTAACGACAACGGCAGCCCTTTGTGGTCATCCAACATCTGGAGCCAGGGCCCTGTGTCCAAACCGAAACAGCTTCCCTTCAGGCCCGACCGCTCCATGAGCCTGACCGAGTCCAGCAGCAGCCTGCTCTCCTCCTTTGGACAGCTGAAAAACCTGGAGGCTTTTCCCTCAGGCCCTTCGACTACCGTGGCTCCGCCGCCGGGCTTCCCTCCCTCGTCTATCCTCCCAGCCCAGGTTCAACCAATGGTGTCCCCTAATCGTTACAAGACTGAGCTGTGCCGTGGCTTCCAGGAGACTGGCAGCTGCAAGTACGGCAGTAAGTGTCAGTTTGCCCATGGCGAGGCAGAGCTGAGAGGACTGTACCGCCACCCCAAGTACAAGACAGAGCCCTGCAGAACCTTCTACAACTTTGGCTACTGCCCTTACGGTTCACGCTGTCACTTCATCCATGAGGACAAAATCAGCGGAGGTCCGTTACCATCTGCCAAATTCCACAATCAGCAGCAACCTCCCACAGCAACTCGCCACCAGCTCCGCCAGAGTGTCAGCTTTGCCGGGTTCCTAAGCTCTTCACGCAGCTCACCTCCTCCATCATTCTCTTCAACCTTGAATGGTCCGAACATGGGGTTCAGCCGTGCTCCCTCTGTTTCTCCACCTCCTGCCGATCTCCTCTCCCCAGTGTTTAGTGACTCCCTGCAGCAGGAGGCAGCAGCATTCCAGTTCGGCAACCATCAGACCCGTGCCAGCACTGGAGACATCCACAACATTCCTCTCATCCTGGAGCCAAAGGCCTCACGCTGTGTGTGTGGCCATGGAAATAACTTTAACAGCAACAACAGCAGAGCCTTCGCCAGCGTGGAGGACGGGCATCACCAGGACAGCAAGCTGTTTCCTGGTTCTGGAGGCCACGGAGGATTCGTGAAGCCTGCTGGACTCCAGCGTTTCTCCTCTGAGGACTCCCTGGAGGACAGCTACAGCAGCAGCAGCGGAGGCTCCAGTGGAACTGAGTCTCCAACGTTCGATGGATCGGCCACCAAGAGGCTCACTGTGTTTGAACGCCTGTCCCTGTCTGACTAAATGGGATCCAAAAGAGGAAGAAAAGAAGAGAACTGACACCTTGTTAACTGTGTCTGTTAATCTGGACTTTCTTCAGAACTAGAACTGATCAGGACAAGTCCACGTTTGATAAATAACACTTAAAGTTCTTAATTTATGTTTGTAAAAATGGATAAACTACACATGCTGAGATGATTTTAGTACCCAAATGTTATCAGACTCTATTTTTATACTTTAAAATATTGTGTAGCTTATTAGACCTTTGTATGTGGTCTTCCATAAAAATGAACTCCACTGCAGGTCTTGAAAGTACTAGTCAATAGTCTGGTTTGTACTTATCATAAATCTGTTGTGATCAAAATTGCTTATCTGTATTGATAATCATTAATTCCTATGCCTTAAAGATTCTCCCTGCCTCATAGGCTTTTTACTCTCGGTGCCACAAACAGTATGTTTGATTCAGTAGCCTTATTCAGTGAGACCTGACATGTGTCACTGATGCCAATTTATCTGTGATATGCACTTTACAGCTAATTCAAACGGGAAAAACTTTCAAGTCTCCCAGTAGCATTCAACCAAAGCTTCATACTATCTCCTCTGTGTGTGTGTGTGTGTGTGTGTGTGTGTGTGTGTATGGCTGTGTGTGTCTGTATATATGCATGTGAGGGTGTATGTGTCATTTTTCTAAGACCTGGGGTGCAAGCATGTGTAAGTTGCAGAATGCTGAAAGATCAAAGTGTGCTAATAGAAACCTGTATGTCAGTGAGTCTAGATCTGAATGTCTAAATCCTGACACACTTTATAAGATTTAGTTCTGTAAAACATTTTGTTATCTTTGCTTGTTTGTATATTGCACCCCATCTTTTATTGTCCCCTGTTTGTTTGACAGCCTGGTTCAGGGACTTTAACACCGCAGTATTCCTTTCGGTTATTGGTTGCCTTGTGTTGTTTAACTTAAACTAATATATTTATTATATATTTATTTGTGTTTAAAGAAAATAAATGTATTTTGTACTTTATTTATGGAGGAATATTTCAAGGTCTGTGAAATACCAATGTGAGAAAACTCAGTAAAAAAGATAATCTTATATTTTTAATTGCCTGAAAGAGACAAAATCAATTTCTGAATAAAGAAATTAATGTATATGTTCTTTTTGCCTCATGTGTTATTCAGTGAGAATACTCGACCAAGACACCTTCCAAGTGAAAGTTGTAGGCCACTTAACTTATAGAATATAAGTATAACTTGCATCTTCAGACAATGTACAGTTTATTAACAAACTCACCCATTATACGAAATTTAATGGTAAGAATTCATGTATAGTTGGAGGTATAGTTTGCCTTGAATGTGGGGTGTTATTAATGCTAACATACAATTGAATTAATCTGTTGATACAGTCAACAATATTGGCCCTGTAAACAGTAAATGGTTTCAAGAAAGGGAATCATTTGAATCCTCTCATCTGTTTCAGACACTTTTTAAGTAAACAATATACAGTATATTTATTAAACATAAATCAAAACATCATACTATATGTCTCCCTCTTACTGTATTAGACTTATACTAGTCTTATAGTACTTATTGCATGTCCGTTAGACCCAGTTTCACTTCTGAGAGTTCCAAATATTTAAAAATACATAAAACATTTGATTTTATATACTTATTCTGTCCTATCACAGGTTACACACAGAAACAGAGAAAGAAATGTCATTTTCTCTCCTGCTGTGTTTTGTGTCATACAGTTTTGTTGTGTATACAGTACAGATGACAGCATTTAGGTATCCTCATGGACAGTGGCTCGTATACACATTATCACAGCTTTCTAATTCCAGGTAAAAGCTGCAATGCTTTGAAAAGAGTATTCATGCCCTTTGCAATGATACTACAAATTTGTTTAACAAAACACCATTTGATCTCTACAAATAGAGTCACAAATGCACAAATAGGATACATGAAATCAGGCCCAGAACGACAACTGCAGCAACAAGAGCAGGTACCAGGAGCTTGCAGGCAAGCTCTATGATTGAGAAATATTAAACATAATGGAAATTCCGGAAACTTCTTGATCTTTCCGGTCAAACATAGTGGTTGAGCAAGATTGATTGCAGTTAGTGAGGAGACCAGTAACCAAAGGACAGAATTACAGAAATGAACTTTTAAAAAAGGCAAAATCCCCACACAGAATTCACAGGTGGCTCGTGGGTTAAAATAGTCCACCTGCTGCACACCTGGGATGATTTTGACTTCAATTTATACTCCAAACAAATATCACAACACATATCACCAGAGTAACCGCTAACTGCTACTAACTGTAGCTGAGGTTAGCTCAGTTAGTCATGTACCAAGTGGTCCTATTAGTTCAGCTGACTCAGCCCGGCCTGGGAGCTCGGAGCACCGGGGATGCTGGTGTTTACACTGCCAGGGGGAGGTTTTCAGGCCCGGGGCGGGGAGGGTTGTGTGGGAAATGCTAGAGGGGTGCGGTGCCAGAATGGGCACTGGAACCGGAGCTGGGCGAGATGGCAACTAAACCGACTTATAATTATAGTTTAGTTGAGTGTTTTTAAACTTAAAATCTTACATATTACACATTAAATCACTGAAAGACACTATAATAATCCTACTCATCCGGCTGAGCTTGAGTAAAACAACAGGGAAGATTGAGGGAAAGTCCCAAAATCTATAAAGCTGATGTATCAAGAAAGACTCAGAGCTGTGATCAGTGCCAAAACGGTTTCCACAAACACAGACACAGAGATTATTATTTTTTTTTTTATATTTTTAAAAATACTTATCAACAATACAATATCAATACACATACACATATTTTGTGTATTAACCGATTTTTTTTTATGGGATTACACATTCACTGGAAATTTTCTGCTGTCATCTCCAGCTTTCAATTGATTTTTTTCCTGAGCTTTCAGAGTTTAGATGATTTGAACTTTTATGGACATGGGATTGTGTAAAGCACATTTACAAGTTAAGCAGAAGTTCATGAAAATACCCTGTTGCAATTTCCCCTTTATACTCCCAGTGTGATCTTGTGTTGAGCAACCCGCCACCGCAGCCATAACACGTCATTCTGTCATAGAGCTGGATTCTGTGTAGCAGGGCTGCAATCTGGAAAAAGAACATTTTTCACAGTAACGGCTCACAGACTTTGAGAAACAGACACAGACAACAGGCACTTGTTACATCAGTCTGCAAAGTGATGAATTCTTGATTGAAATTCTAAGCAAATGATGATTTGCACAAGACATGTAAACCACCTTGCCAGATCTGCACAGAATTTGTTGTTGTTGGGGAGGAATCAGATTTCCAAGGAAGCATGTGGGAGTGGAATGTTTGAGAATTCCAGATTGTAAGAAATGGGCTTGGGAAGTTTATATTTACAAGGTGGTTGCTTCCTAGTAACTGTATCTTATTAATATCTATTCATTTTAATCTGTAACAATCCAAACATATGAGTTTTATTCCTCAGTGGTTTGGTTTTATTCAAATAAACTTTTGTACTTCTGGTTTTGGTTCATTTGTGTTGGTTTCAACACTGTGAATGGTCTTAATCCACCTCCATACAGACTTGGTTTGTTTGGGGTGAGGACACATGGTGGTCCAACCACAGGACTGTGTGATAGGGGATATGTGACACTTAACAAAATGTTCAGGGAGTTAAAATGGGTTTAAATAGAGGTTAGCTGTGCTAGTGTCTCATACTTCATTTCCTCAATAAAAGTGAGTAAAACGTTTTTATTACTTTATAACTTAATACAAAAGGGTCAGTAAAATCCTTCATTTTGATTTACTTTAGGTCATTCCAATGGTATACCAATCCCAGCACATACTACAAACATATGAAATAGCATGCTCAAACCTTGTACGGGGGAGTAAAGTAACAAAAGCCTATTGTGAAATGTCAGCTGTAAGTGAAAGTGGAAATATAGCAGTGAAATTGCAATAAATGCAGTAGTACATTATTCAACAAAAATAAATAATTCTAGGTGACCAGGTCTCCAACCCCTGTCCTCCCACCCATACCTCACCCCCCATTACCCTATCCCATTTCCTTTATTGTTTCTGTCCTCCATCTCTGTCCTCACCTACTTCTCTCTGTCTCTCTCTCTGTACTTCACTTCCATCATCGTTTATGACCAATGATCCAGTCGCAGTCTCAGCTAATAATGCTCATAATCAATTATTTCTTTATTCACTTAATTTGATGGCCACCAGAAAGCATGAAGAAATCACAAGGCACAGTGTAGGATAATAATAACAGTTTCCATACGGCACTGGATAAACTCCTGTATCATACACAAACAGAAAAATAGCTGCTTAACTTAAAACTAAAGTTGAATTGAAAAATGCTGAACATTCTGGCTAAGCTGCACCTGTGTAGCCTTTCTATGTACTGCATTGTACAGACTGATGAAATATGCCTCAAAATATACGAGTAACACTCACTAACATGGGTACTAATGTCTGTTTCTCTTGTCTTTAACATTTGTTCCCCTTTGGACCAGTGGCAGGATGTGTTGCTATGGCGATGGACAATGACCACAAAAAGTAAACAGCAAAGACAAAAAGAAGGAATCAGTGTGTGTTTGTGTGTTCACAAATATTAACTTCCCATACTGGTTAAAGTTCACCAAACTGCACAGCTTGTAACCAACACAACACTGTAGAACTACTGCAATTTATTTTGCTTTTGTCAAACTAACTTTATGTCGAAATATGTGAAAATCAATCAATCAATGTTTTTTTGCACAGTAACTCAGCCTACTGAATGAAGCTCCAATCAAACAAACTTAAACTTAAAACAAGCCCTTTTTTCAGAAAAAGAAAAATACATAGGAGCTTAAACATACTTTGTGTGAGCTAGTCACACAGCTACTGAATTATTACCAATATTTTGTTAATATTCTCCTCAATCCCTGATGCAACCACCGTGGCAGCTCCTTCTTAACACAGGCCTAACATCACCACCACCTTCTGTAGAACTGTTAATATTCAACCACAAAGCTGCTGTTGTCAAACTCCCTTTACCCAAGTCACCTGATCCTGAGCACACAACACAAACACATACACACACACACATACACACACCTTGGAGATAAAGTTCAAACCTGGGTGGAGATCTATTAAAGCAATTACATATTATGTTGTCTAAAGGTGAGAAACAGATTGAGAGATATTCTTATCCAAAGAAACTTAAGCAACAGTTTCCAACCGACAAAAAAGGCATTCATGCAAGCACAGAACACCAAAGAGTTTGTTGGAGGCAGGTAGTTAAGTAATATAGTTAACCTTTTTAAACTTTAATAGACTTAAATTGACTGTGAACTGAGCTGGTAAGAGACAAACACTGAATCACAAGGGAGAGACGAGAGGGTTTAAAAGAAAAAGAAGATAAGAAAAGGTTAAACTTCAGCGACTCCTCTTAGTTGGTGTAGAGTAGGAATTTCTTATCACCGGGTAAAAAGAGCAGTTTCTGTCAGCAGTCTGTTTTCAACTTTGCTGCTGGTCTAGCGAGTTTTATTGGAACTTTTCAACCTGAAGCAATCAGCAACCAGTATTGGATTGATCGTCTAGAAGCAACACAGTCACATTCCTACCTGCGAAATGTGCTTACGTGTGTGTGCTTCTGTGTGCATACTTAAGCACAGTCAGGTTTCAGCCTTGATTTTCTTACAGCTCCTAAAAACCTCTCCCTCCCTCTCTCCCGCCGTCCCTCCCTCCCTTTCTGTCATAACCTGCAGATTAAGCATTATGGTTGAGTAATCTTTCAACCCCAAACCTTCGTCAACCAGTTCGGAGAATGACGGAGTACATTATGTAACTTCTCCTTTATTAACTAGGTCACTGGAAAGCACTACCTTTTTTTTCCTGGAAAAAATAAAAACTGGAGAGGTTAATGTGCCTTAAAATACTTCAAAACAGGCCATTTGAGCTTTGCCCAACTACTCCCCCCAAAAAACCCCATCTTTATTTGGGAGTTTCCTCCAATTTGGAGTGGTAATTCTATAGCGCTACTGAAGGAGTCACGATCAGAAACAAGCATAAACATGGTCGAAACCATCTCCAAAGACAAGTGACGAAGTCTGAAGGGTCCCACATTTTATTCTTCTACTTGTGTTGTTTAATGTCCATTTAAAT